AAATATTTCGTGCATTTCCTTTGTTGATATTTGCTATCCATTTTTTATTTGGCTTGTACTCATTGACAGTTCTTTTTTCCGTTACTCATGCATTTTTCCAGTTTCTGGTCTGATGAATTATTCGTAGGTATCAAATATATCACTAGTTTGGAGAAGCTTTTCCAGAAAGACTGTGTTTAAACATCGATAGGGAAAAGCCTAGCTGCTATTTCTGCTTTGCATTTCATGCTTTCTTTGATTTTACTTTCTCCACTATCGCTTGATGTTGTAGCCTAGTCTGCAGTCATCTGAATATTGCCGTCAAAGGTGATGCACATCTCCGCTAGCTGGAGATTGTTTTATGTTAGTTTTATGTTAGCAAGTTGATCCATCGTACTCTAACAAGTTCCCCCGTCTACCCCCTGTGACGGTGTCAATGAAGCCAATTTTAATGCAAAAAGGCAAAAACTTATCAAAAGTTGAAGGCTTATAATGTTCAAGTCTTTACAGTTCAAGAGACAAATTTCTTAACGTTTCCAACATCTTATTTTCATGTTTGATAAGAAGTGCATTAATTTCCATCATTTTTGCATCCCTTTTTTGTAGTAGATTTTTGTAGCATTTGTTCAGACGTCGTGAACATGTCGCAGAAGTTGGAGCTGACCGAATGCGCTTGAAAGCTATAAAATGGAACACTATTCTACCGCAGGTATAAGCTTAGAAGTAGCATTTCTACCATTTCTCTGAATGCGTTGTTGCCCCACTCGTTCAATTACAAAGTAATCCCTCATGTTGAGCTTCAAAAGAAAACCAGAGGTTGTATTAATATGGGGTTTGTCATTCAAATAACGACATAAAGTTGAACTGCGAATATAGGATCAAGTGGTGAAGCATTCGGCATCGATCTATCCCTTTACCCGAAGTCCAACAAAAAACTGACCCCCACGGACGGTGCACGTGGTAGCTGACGCCATGGGCTCATATACCACCTCCGTGAGGCTGGAAAGTGAACGTTCTACCCTGTCAACTGTGCTTGCAAACTTGTGTTCTTTGGTCTTCGTCTAACGGACGTGCTACGTGTTCAGGCTATCCGAGATGACGCAGCCGCGGAACTCTTTAACATGCCGAAAACAGCCCATCCTAGACGGATTCTCAACATGTGCATGTTCACAGCAAGGCAAAGAGGAAAGATCAAGCCTTATCGACTGAATAGGCATTTATTCAGGTAAGAAACCGAACGCCGCCTTTGCCATCGTGTTATTTTTAGCGCTCTTGTCCTAGGGGGACGTTCATACAGGACCAATGATGGGTGACGCTAGGACAAAGCCAATGAGGGGAGAAGTACTAGGGAAAACACAAATTGCTCTTACCTCCCACAAGATGCCTTCCCCTCTCTGATGCTTAGTCCCAGGTGCTGTAAGTGGCTCACTCACTTGAATGTCCCCCAACGACATAAGCGCCTTACTTTTATTTTTTTTTTTGAAAGTTGAGCTCCATATATTGCTCCAATTCCAGAAAATTGGCCGATCACAGTAAGCTGAGTGGTGTGCAACGCGCTATGTGGTAAAGGTCTCTATACAATGTACTTTTTACCTTTTGTCAGGTTGTTTTTTTTGCGTTGTGTATATTTCTTGTTTGAGTATGCAGTTACTTTTAGCTTACTAGATACTGATACACAGAGTTTTATAAATTTGCGGCGATTGACTTTTTTAATTATTCATTCATGGTTATTGTTGAGTCAATGAGATCAGTGTTTTCTTAGTTCGATGGTAAAATTCGGGAATAGTTGTTGTAGAAATGAACATTGGTTTTCCCTACAGTTTGTGCTGGTTTCTATAGAATTTCCAGAGTGTACTATATCAAAACGACAGTCGTAACAAGCGCGTTACAAATCTCGCGAAAATTAGTCCTAGCCCGTTGCAACGCGTCAGTTAATTGCTCTCATTTGCGAATCTTTTGCATAAATAAGCTCCTATGGTTCCAGTGTTCTGCGCTGTACCGGAGGTCTTCTCTCAGTAGCAGTTGGAGTGGGCTCTAATCTATCGCGGCTAGACCATGGCAGAAACTTGAAGTAATCCCGCCGCAAATAGTAGAACATGGCGGATAAAGGACAGCAAGAAACGCAGTCGTCACAGGACGCTATAAACAGCGCGGACTGTTTGCTGCGAGTTTTCTCGCCTAGGAGGGGGTGGGGGCACATGGTCAATACGTTAACATCCGACACTCTGTTGTGCAATCGGACGACCGGTCTGACAAGGCTATAATTGTGGTCCTGTAGCGACATCAGCTTCCAGTGCCTTCCTTCAACCTTCCAGAAAAAATAGGCAACTTTCCGGAGGTAATCTGTCACTGTTACACCAGCGAAGAGTAGAAGGAAAAAAAACCGTTTTCATATATGTAAATGTACATAATATGTATATTGGAATTAGTCTGTCTCATGCCTCCGCCAAATTGCCCCGCGCCAAATTTGTAGCGAAATCAATCTCTCGAAAATGTGTGTAGATCCCAGAGTGCTCCAAAAGTCAAAACACCACAGTTGGCGCAGAAATTGGCGTTGAAAAATAAGTCATTCCATCTGGAGGCCTTTCGATCACAAAATCTTCATTCAATACACCGGCAAAAAAGTATAGCGCATTACAAAGACTAGGTAATAACCGTGCTCTCCGAGTACCGAAACTATGATTATAATATTAATAAGTACGCATTTAGTGTTGTTAATTTCTAGGAATCTTTGCGAACAGGTCGAGCGAGGCCCTCTTGAACGGCTGTCATCACCAAATCACCTGTACGAGTCCACAGTCTGGCTCGAGTGTGAGTACGAGAGTTGCCTAGAATATACTCAAGGTAGCCAGTGTTCACCGCAGTGGCAAGACTCTGTTTGAATGCCACGCTCCGATTCAAATCCCAGGCTTGGATTAAAAATCACACTATATTTACAAGAAACGGTTTTTCAACCTTATTTCCTTTCTACAGCTATTTGTTTCTTAATGTAAGAAAAACAGCGTAAACTTAAGAAAGAAGTAAACCTCCTGTCTTAAGTTGGCTTTTTTCCTGTAGGATTAGCACCGCGCTTTTGCAACAAGTGTGTAACGCTTCCAAAGCTTGGATTGACTGGACACCCAATTCCAAAACAGCACTTGGTAATAATGCAAAAAAAATAAAAAAAAAGACCGATAAAAACTTCGACTGCGGGGGTCTTCAGCTTCATACCTGCAAAGTCACTAGTTTGTTCCCACAACATCCATTCATTTATATTGAATCTCGTTTGATGGAACCAGAGGCAATGGTCAAGGGAAAATGCCTAAAATACATTGATCTGGGTCTGCCACATTAAAAAAACCTGAAAAAGATCCAAAATAAATACCATGCTGAAAGGGAATCCCCTTGCAAGATGCGGCAATATCGCGGTTTCCACCAGAGTTGAGTCTGATATGTAAGCTGCCATGTATTGTTGCATCAAAGGGTTAGTACCTCAAAATGACCATTAAAGAGGTTACTGAAGGACGCAGCAGTTATTGTGGTGTTAAGAAGGCTATACAAGTATTCTCGGACGAATATCCTCGTGAACACAAGTTTTCTACATACGAAAAATCACTCGCTCTCTACAATTAAAAGTCAATCACAAGTTGGGAGTAAAGAGTACTGAGTTGATCGCAAATACTCAGACTAGCGCTAGCTTACACTAGTGCTAGCACAGCAAGCTCTTACCTTAGCCAACTCTGGGCACGATTATTCATTACATCGATTAGGCTGCTGTCAAAGTCTGCGATCCGTCGCATCGCGCGAATCGCAAAAATCGCAAGTGCCCCATTTGAACATTTGAAACACTGAATATGAAACAAGTAGAATCATGAACAGTCGTCATTCAACCATCACCATCAAGCAGAAATGGCGGCGGGATTGGAGAGCACCTCGCAGTATTGATCGGGCACTTGTGATTCTGTGATCCGTCGCGTAACTCACGACGGATCGCGAACTCTGACACCAGCCTTAGGATTACGACTATTAATGGCAAATTCTTCGTTGTCCAATGGCTTCACTCAGACAAGGCGAAAATACCGTTAGGGCCTGCAGATCAGGTTATCCCGGTTTGGTGCCTTTGAGGCCTGTTCATAGTGTTTCATCGGGTGTTACTGTCGTGAAAAATTCACTCCATGAATAAAATCGAACTTTCAGTTCTCAGAAATCATTTGATTAGGCGAAGGGAGCAACAAAGATATGTCACTAACGACAAGGAGGTGGATCAGGAAATAGTCCTTTGAAATTTTCAAATAATACGGATAATTATAAATTGACGATTTCAAGGAGTGAACTACGAATTAAGACTTACCGATGTCTAGAACAGGTTTGATCCAAAGATGATACTGAGGCCGATGCAGCGGTCCCTTCAAATCTGGCTTGTAAATTTGTTGATCCACCGGCCTAGCCTTGAAAACACCATATGAATACGACTCAAAACACAAGTGATGCGCGCAAAATTGACAACATTCAAGTTTTAAGATACCTCGAAAATTCGATGAAAGGTAGGTGGGAATTCAGCTAGTTTGTAGGCACTGAAGACTTCTGTAGGCGTCATCTTATCCGAGTTCGAAGCATCTAGACAGTTTCTCATCAAATCTCTTGCAGTAAGAAGACCATCCGGACCTGCGGGCATTTCGATCTTCGTCTCGTGTCGCATAGTGCTTGGCTGGTCTCGCTGTAACTATGCGTTTTAGCACGTTTTTTTACCCTTTTGATAATGTACACATATGTACAATGCTATGCTGAAAAATAATTTTCTAGATAATTGCAGATAATTGCGCCCAACTTAATATTTTTTTTACCATGGTTTGATCAGTTGAAACATGCATGCGCAAGAGTTGGTGATCAACGTTAGATTCACCACACGTGGACACCTTCATTTTCAACAGTCTTCACGGTAGTTTCAAGAGATTACCATCATGTGCAATACACGACTAGCGGCCCTTGAACCCTTAGCTGCGTTCATATTCCACGCTTAGGAAATTAATCAATACCTGTAAGATATCATTGACCGGATGATGAGGTGAGTTAAAATGTTAGGGAATTCCACTGGATAGATTAGTTAGGTGCTGACTGGAGTGCAGACTCCTGATCTCTATTTTACCGATGGAAGCTACTGAGAAAGCAGATACCGTCCTATGCAGTTGTCGGGGAACTTTTCCAACTCTTAATCAGTATTATTACTGATATTTACATACACCAAATGTATGAAGAAATCGCAATAAGTGGATTTCTTAGTTAGATTTCTTACTTCTTAGTTGGCAACTAACGTAAACCATCGAGAGTGTCTTTTTTCAACTTTTTTTTCGGTTTTCTTCTTCTCAACCTTTTTTGGTCTCAGAAGTTGTGATCATGTTAGATCAGAAACATGGTTGTTGAGAGCTTCAAACCGATTCCACAGGTAAAATAATATCACAACAATTAATGACCAGATCTCCAATTCCCCAAGTGGATCTGTTTGAATACATGCCAGAGGTGAACATTTCATTTCGATGGAAAATACATAAAATCCGTTTACAGTTCGAAGGCTTCATTAAATGAAGCTGGATACGAATAATATCGGCTAGGAGAAAACTTGCCTGGAACGACAGTTGCGATGTGAACAAAACCTTGTCATTTTGTGTAACTCTCACTAAACGTGTAGCGAAGCTTCTTCCATCTCTAATACGTTCCACATTATAATGTACTGGCTCCAATACGGAACCTAAACAGAACAAATAGATTTTCATCGTATAGCAAAAAATATAATCTTAGTCTACCTGCATTAACAAAGTAGCAGTGCATTGAATGAGGTGAAAGTGCCTGGTCCACAGTTTCCGTAGCGCTTTTCAGAGAATGGGCAACTAACTACATAACAATTTTTAAAGAAGCAAATCAGAATTAAGCTGTTATGTGACGTTAGAACTTACTTGTCCGCCATATATGTGGGAAAATGACCGGCGCCCTCGAAGCAAGTGAACGGATCTGAATAGTGAAACGAAAGGTTTTTAATATAGAAGTGCAGCGATGGAAGAAGTGGGGGAAAAATAAAGAAAAATGTGCACTATCACAAGATAGAGGGCAACTCCAAGGACTAAGCCAGGAAGGAGCGGAGGGGCAACAACTCCAGGGAAGCAAGAAATGCTCATACACCCTGGTGTACCCCTCCCACCTGGCGCTTAGTCTCATATATAACAAAAAAAGATTCCTAACGCAGTACTAAATGCGTTGCCACTGCAATGCCCCTTTCTTGGGGATAGCGCCGAAAATTATGAAAGAATGGAATGAGGGAAATGTTGCGTAACACGGTATACGTTCAAACATGGAATACTGATCCGGCTCAAACCTACCGTGAGGAGAGGCTCAATTGTACGATGCTAGGTCTAGCGACTGAATTTCTTCAATTTTATGGCGTTCGTAAATACACCTCCAGACGAGTCCCATTTTCGCTTACCTTTTGAGCATCAATCCTTCCCAATCGGGCTATTTCTACGATTCAGCTAGCCCGCTCCAATAGTGCTAGCACCTCACGGATTGATTTTACGCGCACGTGATCGATACCCATGCCTGTCTGCTATACGGTCCCGAGTATAGAAGCAGGGTCAACCCTACGTTGGGACAAGTACCAACGGGGGGGGTCGTAGTTTGTTGAGTTTGTGGGGGGTCGTACTTGTTTCGGTAGCACGAAATTACATGTAATGAGGTGAGAGCGCGCGGGAGAAAATTTGCCGTTTCAGCGTGCGTATATAAATGTTGCAGTGGAAATAGGTAGAATAGAGGGGAAAATGAGGGAAAAGTAAAGGGAAATATAGGGAATTTTTGCGGTTTCATGGTAGTTATATACCCTCCGCTCGACGGTGTTTTTTGAGGGAAAAAGAAGTTGTGAAGAAGGGGTCGTATGAAAACTCTCGTGAAGGAGGGGGTCGTAAAATTTTCAAAAAGTCCCAACGGTAGGGTTGACCCTGTGTATAAGCTGTCTGAATTAATCTACCACAAGTAAGCTCATAAAAAGAGCAACCTAACCGTGCAAGTGAACTCTGCCACATTCTAGTCAGAACTTTTTATGCTGTTTACGCAACTTTAACAAGTAGATTTCGGACCGTACATGATTGATCATCTAATAACCCCAAAATTAGATGTACCTGAATTCCAAATCATTCAAACGTTCCAGCTTCAAGAAACATTCCAGTAAACGCTGCGGCAGATCTGGCCCATCTTCGTCAATAATGCGAGCGTTTTCCGCTGCTTTGCTGCATATTCTTCTTAGCGAAGATGCGAAAACAGTTTTCAAATTGGTCGTAACTGGCATGTAATTGAACCCTGGAAGTGATATGTGATAAATTGAATAGCACGAAGAATAACTTCAATATTGCAAACGTCCGTCGGAACTTCTCCAGCTTTACTTAACTGCAATGATTATAACTAATCAATCGATTGTTCGCATGGAGCACAAAACTAATTGATTCATACAATGAACTGCTATAAGTTTGAGACAAGCAGAAACCTTGTAAGCAAACAAACAGGTGCGAATTTCAGTAGTCCACGGTAACTTGCGTCGCACGCGGCAGTTACTGTCGCGCGCAGCAATGCTCGAGCCTTTCAAATGTAAGACCGCGACAGCTAATGGGTTTTGAGACAACTTGTACAACCGTTGATGGAAAGATATGATGTTACTAGTCTGGTCATTAAGTACAGTGTCGCTAAGAGTGACACGCGTTGAGAAAATTAACCTCCCTTCAAAAACGAGAAAGTGTCGGGTGCAGACCAAACACCACAACTGACGACGGCCTCCAAGTAAATCTGGTTAGAAGTTGTTCATAGTGATAGCTGATTTCTGGTAAATGATAGTTGTAATTAGTGACAATCGATAGAATACAACTGCAACAGGCTAATCATTTCATTGGCAGAAAACATTAACATTTTGTGAAGGCCGTCGTCACTTGTGGTGCATGGTCTGCACCCGACACTTTCTCGCTTTTTGAAGGGGAGGGTATCTGTTACCCTCATATCCTATGCGATCCCTACTGGTCCCTGCTCACCTTTCCACTCTCGATGGTGCCAGTAGTGACGCTGCACATGCTACTACGTGGCACCCCTCCAACTCTGCTTCCTAAGCAACTGCTGGATGAGCAGATTTTCCACCATTATCCTACACGTAACTATACTCATTGTCTCCAAATATATGTAGAACCTTACATGAACGACCCTCTCAAGGCAAATACGACTCGCCTCCCCACCAACAGCGCGAAAGGAGGTGTGTACATGATTCGAGGGACCCCGATAATTGGCAGAGGTGGCGTTGTCCACATATAGGAGTTGGAGGAGGAACTTTTGAGCATAGACCAATTTATATGAAATGAAGAGAGCTGAAATTTCATAATTTCGTAATCCCTTCCATTCTCTCGCTTCCCCTCATCGCTCGACGGACTTTTACGATGTGGAAATGCGCTTTTTTGATATTATTTGAAGCTTGGAATTCATGCGTGGAGATCTCGTTCATCAAAACTTTGAGCTTCGGACTGCGGATTCTCAATATTTGGGGTTCCCAGATAAGGGGTGAGTAAAATTCGAAGTTATCAGATTGTCTGATGAGAATTGTCGTTTTTCTTGAAAGATTTTTTTGAATCCTAAACAAACTGCCTTTTACCTGACCTATTTACCTTTACCTTTATCTCCATCATTTTATGAAGATTTCGAAGCAGAATTGTCTGCGCTCTACACCACTGGTTATTTCTTTTACGCATTCATTGTAACACTCAGATCATTTGAAGCGGTAGTCAAATACCAAAAGAAGCAACAGTGGTCTTTTTCGGCCAAAGGGGCGCTAATGACTCACTTGAGTTGCAAAACCATTCTGTGCTCCATTTCCACTTGAGCTCTACCCACCAGTGTGTACTGTAGTCCAGTTTGTGTACTCATCTTTTTGGCAAAACCACTAACCAACTGATCCAGAGCGAATGCTCAGGCTTCAAGGGAAACGCAAGAGTACTGTGACTCTTTCTTGGGATTCAGAGCGGTAGAGGCGGAGTTCACGACGAAAAGGCAGCCTACGAGAAATCAAGGTACATAGGTGTAGTTAGTGATGCGGGGATGAAGAAAAAACCAAAAAAAGGTCTAGAACCCGAGGAAGTTACTTTTTGCTCATTGATTCGCGGGTTTGGCGTGTTTTATCGGTGCTGACCATTCAACGCTAAAGCTCTCTGCTAGAGCGGCCAGAGTCAGAAGGCGAGAGAGTGGGCGGACTGCGGCACGAGCGGCGCGAGATGGCCCTGCTAGGCTGCCGAGGGCATATCCTTCGCTGCGAAACCATCGTCGCCTAGCAGCCCTGAAGGATCTGCCTGCCTTTGGATCAGGTATATTTCCCCTTTCTCGATCCTTAAACTTGTCGTGGAATTCTTTTTTGAACGAAGCTTCACACTGCTTATTTGTTCCATACATACGCTAATTACAATATCGTTTCGAAGAGGCGCTCTGTATAAACTATGAACGACCCAAATTGTCAGCATTCCCCATGTGTGACAGTGATTTATCTTACAAAAAGCGCCCCGCTGAGCATATGTGCTTTAGTGGCAAGTGGACCGTTTACCAAGCGCATGGCCCATCCTGAAAAGTGCGCCGCTCAGGCCAGCAAGCCTTCCAACCTTTTGGTTGCTCAGCTGCTATAGGACTTCTTGAGGGGATAAAAACAATGAGTTGCACAGTGGCTGGTCTCAGAAAGTTACTGTGTATGCAAATGCGTTCAAATGCCGGAAATAAGTAGAACGCGTGGCTCATCACACGTGAATCACAACTGCATAAAAAATCGCCCAAGATAGGCGGTGAACGTCACATTTCCGAAGTTCTTACTATTTCACATGCTGAGCTTTGTATTATATTATAGCTTCAATGAAATGTGTTACGATTTCTTCCCCCTCATTAGCGCCGTGAAAGATTGCCTCTGGTACTATCAGCTTCTCCTCGGAAAGAAACCAAGGCCTCAAGTTAGGAAAATTCTTCTCACATGCGTGGTTTTCACAGGGTTGCCGAACCCCGGTTTGACGCCCCGCAAATCTGAAAAGATTTCAGAACATTCTGAAATAAAATGGTAACACAAATAATATTCCATTTATTGATGAGAATGTACACAAAAATCATTGCGAAAACACGCGTAAAAATAAGTATTATTGATCCATGAGATGAAAGTAATCGACTTTCTGAAATACCAAGTAGTACCACCAATACCAGAGATTCCATGCCAGAAATGTGAGGGGAAATCCGTATCGACATTGCTTGTCTATTCGCAGAGCCTGTCTCGAATAATCTCGGGACATCTAAAAACTTTGAATTGGCAATGACTTATCAGGGAGGTAAGAAGAGAGATGAGTAATGATATGTCGGAAAGTTATCAGATTACAGAAGGTTCTTTACGAGATAGAAAGGGTGGGGGGGGGCTAATGCGTCCGGAGTTCATAGTAGATGTTGTGTTTGAGAACAACTAGTAATGAAGAAGAGTAAAGCTGCTATGAAACTTTAAAATCAAATTGCGCACTGATGGTGGGCGGTACCAGCCCTTCTAATTTTGGCGCGGGAGGCGGTCATATGGCGCGATCCCATTGGCATTAGAGCGCACAGTATCCAGGACAACTCGTCCGTATCACACAGCTGCTAGACTTCAGCAATTGATCGATGTGATAATTTGGGCCCTCAAAAATCTCGCTGAGTCCCAAAGATCTAAAAAAAGAGTGGGTAGCTTCGTTGGCCTGATGCCAAGGCAAGAGAACGGAACAGAATGTGTTGCGCGGACGAGTTGTCCGGCCACAGCAGGATGTGGTAATTACGGCCTGTGCGCTCCAATGCCAATGGGATCGCGCCATATGACGCACACCCGTTGGCGCCCTTCTTATTGGTTATCTCGAGTTCCTACCGTACACTACCGTACCAAGAGGGCTGACCAATGATAAGGGCGCCAGACGTCGGACTGGTGTCACCATACGAGCAACGTAATGCGATTGTAAGGGTTCTTGGCCGTACTTTTTGCCCTCTTTCATTACATATCGACCCAAGGTACCACATTTATACTTTCATTTTCGGAAGCGATTTCCCAAATCTATTCACTTTGGGGATTTGAATTCGTCGAATCAGAACCCTGCTCGAAAAGCTTCCCAAAATTCGTATTTGAAAACATTTTACCTCGTTGTACTCCCCCACCTGTCCCGTGCCTGGCTCACCCGCTTCCTGAATACCCCAAATAAGGAAAAATGCCGAGTGCGTGGATACGCAACATTATGTCCTCGTCTTCAAGCAAAAAGGTAATGCAACGGAGTGTTCCAGTTACCGTTAAATCAAGGTTGACTACTCACATCATTAAGCTGTGCGAGAGATTGATCGATCTGAACACCGAGAGAACTAGTCTCGCTCTAGCAGGAACAGTTTGACTTCGTGAGCAACAAGTCCACAACGGGTCATCTTCACAATCAGACGGGTCATTGACATGAATCGAGATCTTTTTATCTAGCCTTCCTCGATGGTGAGGAGCACATTCGAGATTGTAGCTGGAGAGCGGTTAGAGATTTCCAGGGCACGAAGCGTGCTAGAAAATCTGATCACTCTTGAAAGGCTGCGTGAGATGGTGCTAAGATAACGATGTGAGGTAGCGCCTCGCAAGACTGGCCGTGCGAGTGCACGGAGTGCGACATCGCAAGAAACTATGACGATAGGGCGATTATGCAGACATCCACGACCCAGCTGAAGCGACTGCTATGCAAGGCAGACATACTGAAAAGGTCACAGAATCCTTCAGAAAAGCAAAGCCCTCAAAGTGAGGCCGGTGTCAGACTTTGCGAATAGAGCAACTTGTTAGCGAATCGCTCGAATAAAGCCTGACATCGGCCTTAGGCAGATGCCCGCGAGGGAGATAAGCCGTTTGGACAGAGCGAGCACCTGAAGTAAGGCGTGAATTACGACGTTCCTGCCGCAATCACGTACATTGCGCTCGCAGCGACGCGCTTTCTGCGGTAGCCATTCTGAAGGTCATGCCAACAACGACGCTACCCCTTCGGTCCAGGGCAGCAATCCAAAAATGGTCGAGCGTCGCAGCGTACGCTCCGCCGCGCGGGCGGGGAGCCTGAGCGCCGCGCGCGAGCGTGTGTCCATCCTCCACCTCCTATATGAACGGCGCTTAGTACAGTTGGCGAGTTTGCTCGACGCGTTCTCTCTTCGTTGAGAGCGCAGAGAAAACGAGGGCGAGCACACGTTTTAACGCGTCAATGCGTCGCGCATTGTACGTGACTACAGCAGAACAATATAATTCACGCCTTACTTTAGGTGCTCGCTCTGTCAAACAGCTTATCTCCTCGCGAGGAGCTTCAAAAAGGGGACGGCAAGATCTCTTAACGAAGGATCTCATTAAAGGCAGCAATTACGAAAAATTTAAGGAGGGTTTAGTCCGACGTGGTGGTGCTCAATGTACATCCAGTAGCGAAAAACAGAAAAATCCGTCTAAGGAAACGGGACCCCCTTTTTTGGCCGTTGGTTTTCACTCATGAACAGGTAACAGCTCAGAAAGTGGACGTATGAACGAGTTCACCGCAACGCGTTTGATGGCACCATGCCAAACACGCTTCAATCGAGATGCTCCATTTGCGCCGCTGCTGGCCACGCAGCTCGTCCAAATCACCAAGTAAACTAGTGGGCGGATCGCTTTTGGGGCGGAGTGCTTTCGAAGTCCTGCTCAGCAACCAGCGCACCTTTCGTCGTGAAAGCGCCACACCTCGCTTCCTTGGCAGCCAAGTAACTGCTTCGTGTGGTGCATGCTTCCCCGATGCGCTCCCTCTTTATCGTAATCGCTTCCTTTGAGGTTATGGCAGAAGGCAGTTTAGACTGCGCGGCATCAAAGTTCTGTGAAAAGGAAGCTTGGCAAGGTCAACAGAAACTTTCATTTACATTGGGCGGAACCTTTTCGCAAAATTTGAACCTGCCTTCGAATAGACTGCGGCGTCATCTGCACCAGCTGTGTTCGGAATGCTGATGGAGGCATGACATCTCAAAGGCGCTTTCCTTGATGGACAGGACTTCCATGATGTCTCGTTGTCTGTACAAATACTGCATGTAAGTTATTGCACTTATTTAGCACATTAGAATATCTCATGTCTATATATGCATTTATATGTAAGTATAAAAGCCAACGAAAATTGCCAATTCCGAAACTAATTCTCAAGTGAGATTATTGTGAACTATGGCCCTTCCGAAGCTCATAACTCCGACATTTTTATTGATATAAGTGCGACTATGCAAGTTGTGCACGGCGTGAACACCTTTCAGCTCGCCGCACGTGACCTGACGCGACGAAATCGTGCGACAATTCCTTGATATACAGAATTGTCGCGCCAAATCCGTACGACTGGGTGTCCGGCAAGACATTTGTGGGGAGATACCATTTATTTCGGGAAACGGGAAGAGCGTCGAGTGCAGACCACACACCACAAGTGACGACGGCCGAGAAAAAAGCCACTTTTTTCGGCCGTCGTCACTTGTGGTGTGTGGTCTGCACTCGACGCTCTTCTCGCCTTCCGAAGAGGGTAGAGGGTAACTTAGCATTTGGGGCGACCCAAGATCAGCATATTCAACAAACACTAAGTTCATGCTCATGGTAGAGTGCGAGCCATCTTTCCCACAAACTTTCTGTGATGACGATTTGGCGGAGTCGGAAAAAAAATAGGAGCTACTGCTGAATCAAATCGCCTTTTGCTTGCCTATTCGAACTTCAAATATCAAAAGGCATGCAGAAAGCGGTTGACAGTCAAAAGAGAGCTGATTACTAATTTTTATGCCCTGATAGTGATTTTAAGACAATGGAACTTTATGCCTGCACGAGCAAATGGTTTCTGCACACTTTCTCCAATCTGAAATCAAAGTGACCTCTTCTCCCTGATAGTCTAGATATTAGGTGTTTCAGAAAAATCTGTCGTTTTTCGACCCCGAAATTCAAATGCATGTATCTCGGCTTAAACCGAACCTTTCGAGTTGAAATAAAAACCATTCGAAAGCGCGAACTTTTGCTATAAGAAGCCGTTCAAGTGGGTACGTTTGTTAGAATGCTGGAGCTCTGGAGGCGATGAACTGAGGAAAGGTCGTTTTAGCATCGGTTTTTTTCTTGACCCATTTCTCTTTAAGGGATCCGGAAACCGAGGCCCCCGGCGATAGCTGATAGGCCAGAGGCAGTAGGATATTTGCTGCACTTCTCCTTAGCCTAGCTGGTCGAACTTGTGCAGGGTTGGTTGTGCGATGTGCGTGTAAGACACCTGTCAGAGATGTGTCCGTCCCTTTATAATGAGAAATGCTGAACCCGTATTTTGAAGTTTTTGGTGAATTTTGACATAATGTTAAGAGTTCTCCTCCACTGTAACAGTTCCACCTGATACGGAAGAACATGGCCAGCCGCTGACCTGATGAAAGTTGCCATAACCCTCCTTCAGCACAGTTTAAGTTTTGCAAAGTTTGTAGAGCTTGATCGCCGTCGAGCTATTCAGCAAGTGACGACGCTTGAGCAAGCGACGAGCAAAGCTTCGTAGGCTGTAGAAAGAAATCCGTTCTTCATTGTACGTCGCAAATCAATAGAGAAAGCGAGTCGCTTCATCACATAAAACAAGCTAGAAATTGATGGACGACCTTTCAAATTGGTGATTTGTCGCGGCACGCCCCTATCAAATTTTTTGGACTTTCCAGCTACTTCCGTATAGCTTGGCTCCACAAACCATATACGCCCAGGTTGGGCAGAACCTCCTCAATGGTCCTTACGCACGAGTGCTTCAATCAGAACTTTTGGCTAATCGGAGGCAACGTCCGATATCCGACCACCACTCTCATCATACCCAAGGCTCTCGCTTTCGTTACAATAACTTTTGAAACTATTGCTTTGAAGAATATTCTGTGCAAATCTATAGCCAATCTATAGTGCATCGTTAATATCTAGAAAAAGAATCGTGCCAACTTGCTCATCGAGTATACCCCATTCGAAACTCTAGAAAATTTATAAGAAAATGTTTTAAACAAAGCTGAGCTAAGCGTTGGATAGAGCTGGAAAAGCTCTTCAAAATGATATCCATACCGATGGCAGTTTCTCTAGATTTCAAGTGAAATGAAGCATCCAAATGTGGAGTGTCAGAAAACGACAGAACTTTCTGAAACACCTAATAGAATCTCAATTTACCGCAGCAAACCGACTGTGTTGGGCTTTTGCAGAGCCAGGTTGGTTTCGAATGGCGTTAGCGCGTGGTAAGGCTGATGCGCTAACCCCATTCGTACGTAGTTCGTGGTTCGTGTCAAGCAATGCTCAATGGCTAAGTCTTTCACTCCTTCCTAATCATTTGAAAATGCCACTGCTGCAAATGTCGCTGTAGTTACAGAAGAACTTACCAGAACCGCTATCTTCGTCTTCTAACAGAGCAGTGTCGAGATTACGCCAAGGCTGAGACACATTGTCATAGATTGACATGACAGATGACTCCATTTTCCCTGACATATGGATCATTAAAAATATGAACAAAAAATGCTTGCTAGCTTATTTGAAGACTTTCTTGAAAAGAGGCTGCATTTTAAGTACCTAGGGGGTGTGGGCGCCGCGACGGAACCACGTTTCTGATCAGTGAAGCTCATTTTGTGAAGACCTAGTCTTCCTTTCATTCAAGGCCTATAAGGCTTATTGGCAGTGGGTCATTTTTGAGAGTTGATTCTTGCTTAAACAGGGGATTACTCTCCACATACTGTTGTTGAAGCACACATACAACGTCTTTGAACGCCTCTATGAGGTGAATGGAAGTGTGAAGCTAAGTTTCATCATCAAATGATTTTTTATTGCAAATTTGGAGTGCAGGTGGGAAGAGGATCGCTGGTGAAGAAGAACAACAAAGGACACTACAGTACTGAATTCAGACTTCTTCCATCTCGGTAGCTGATCATGGCTAGGTACTTTACTAAGGCAGAGTACTGAACTTTCGAAACTACGTACTTTTATTGTCCTCCTCATTTCCATAGCTGTTGTCGATACATTGTGTATTTTCACTCTCAGGTGATCGTTTGAGCAGTGAAGTGCCCATGGATTTAGCATTTGAGACTCGACAATCTGTAATGCTTAAATGTTGAAAAAGAGAAGCGAGCGCTTTTTGAATTGCCCGAATATTATAAATAATGGTGCTCAATATAATGCAATAAGCAATAATAGTATAATGCGAGCGGTCTGCGGTACTGCCCACTCATGCTTTTCAAGGAATTGAAAATAGAAATTGGAGACGTTTTTGTTTTTTGCACCTTCTCAATCTGAAGTGCAAAAGAAGAAAACACGAGAGAAGAACTTCTTTTCTGAAATGCGTGAATATTTGTTTTTTTTTCTCCAAAAATTAAACCACTCTTGATTACAATCGTTTGGTACTTGCCATTTTTCGATGATGGCGTCATGACGTCATCAATGAATCTTATAGGTTGCCTGTTTCCATTGCCTTTTTCCCTTTCACAGAAACCGTTTGAATCTTTGCATTCCAACTGTTTACTGCATATAGACGGCACGGCAGCTCCTGAATGGTTATTCTGTAATTTAGCATTTCCTTTTTGTATTGGTGATGTGCGGGGTGACGCAGAGAGGCGCAGGCTCACACGAACGGTTCATAGATCGAATCCTTCAGGGCATTCATGCACTCACTAATGATATCGAGCTTGCACATGTCAGGGTCATGGTGTGATGTGACTGAATTCGGATATCAAGCCTCCCCTGCTTATCACCTTCGATGCTTGGGTTCTGATACCTTCTAGCTCCGCCCGAAAAATGCGCCTCAGGGTATACACATAATATAACCATCGAAAGGGATAAAATCGGCAAAATTTTCCTGAACTCCTATGATTGCCCTAATCTTCGTTGAAGACCATGATGAAAATTCCTTCTGTTTTCTACTTTATTAATTTATTTATTTTTTGTGTTTATTTTCAATACACTCACAACAGTGTGCCCAGGTAAGACAGAAAGAAATATGCAGAGTTTTCTTGCAGAATCAAGACCCCTGGCCCGACTCGGCTTAATAGACGGCTGGCCTTGTAAGTCATCTATATAAACGTAAAGCCTCTTCTTACTTATCTTACTTGTGATTCAGTTCGACTACACAATCATAAGCGATGGCTTAAAGGAATCCTTCGCGGAAAATTCTTGCATTCTTTCTTGAACATGAATGTGTCAGTTGTGATCACTGGAAACAGCACACAAAGTTTCACGCATGAAGATTCGGTTTCCGAAGAGAAACAAAAACTACAATGGACAATCGAAGGTAATTCGGGCGGAGCCAAAGGCGAGGCATGGAAAGAAGTTGGCCTTTGGCCGGCTACGTATCAGGCGACGCAATGAAAGAATCGGGTTAAAGCGCGCGATTTCGGAGAGTAGAGACAAATCGATCGATAGAATAGGATGGAGTAGAAGTGTGAAGATGTGAATGCAATAAAGCAGAAGGCCAGAAAGAGTTTCTAGTGAAGGCACTCCAAGAACCAAGTGGAAGCATCCCCGTCGCCAGCATTTGTGAAAGACGTCCGTGGGCACTTTGAACGCGTAGCAGCCCTTTCGATTTTTCGAATTTTTAACCAAAACAAAAGCAATATTTCTGTTCTTTTCATTCTTATCGTGGATAATGAGTCTCAAGCCAGTGATTTATGGCTGAAATAGAATCATGATTTTTCCGTGAAGGATTCCTTCAATAACTCAAAGAGGATGTACAACAGCATGCGTGAGAGATATTCGAGAGAACGCCGAATTTATGATCATATAAATTATCATATACTTTGTGGAAGAATGATTTAAATTATCACATCGACTGACCGTCTATTGTAAAACGTACTTGTAAACCACATTTGTAATACATTTAGTAAGTTTGTAGGAGAACAGTACCACTTACTTCTTCCGCTGGCTATGCTCGAAAAAATTCGCTTTCCCATCGAATCGAATTTCTCTGATTTCCGCATATAGCTGTTGATTATAGCAAATTCCAGCAATGCAGAAAACACAAAAAGCATACACGCTGGAAATGAATAGCAATGTTGGCGATGTGAGATGTAGTGAAAATAATAATTCTTGACCTCACCTCCGTACCAGAGATCAATTGCCTTAACGTAGCTGACTTGTGGCAATCCAAAACGGAGACCATTACCCTTAAATTCTAATATTTTACTACACTCATAGTCAGTCGTGGAGGGGAGGCGTTTTAGATTGTTGTGCGAAGAATGCTAATCACAAAAGTAAGAAGAAAGACAGCAATGTCATATATATCAGGGAACCTACATAGTAATGACGACTTCAAGTTCATGTACAATCACTGAGTTCTTATTTTTTATTTTTTGCAGAGGTTGAGTGCTTTCTATAAGATTACTGTAGCCTAGATAACTACTCCAAACCAGTGTCCCAAGAAAGTTTTAAAGCAGCTATTACGATAGGTTATACAAAGGTTTGAGGAGACCTGGTGGTGCTCAGTGGTACGCCAGTGGCGAAAAAAGCAGAGAAATCCGTCAAGAAAACGCAAAATCTTTTTGGCCGTTGGTTTTCACTCATGAACAGGTAACAGCTCAGAAGCGGACGTATGAACGAGTTCACCGCAACGCGTTTGGTGGCACCATGCCAAACCACGCTCCAATCGAGTTGCTCCAGTTGTGCCGCTGCTGGCAACGCAGCTCGTCCAAATCACCAACTAAACTAGTGGGCGGATCGCTTTTGGGGGCGGAGTGCTTTCGAAGTCCTGCTCAGCAACCAGCGCACCTTTCGTCGTGAAAGCGCCACACTCGCTTCCTGGCAGCCAAGTAACTGCTTCGTGTGGTGCATATGCTTCCCCGATGCGCTCCCTCTTTATCGTAATCGCTTTCCTTCAGGAAGTGTAACGGAGATCAACCCATTGCTACCATGGCCACGCCCTTCTCATGAATTCCGCCCCTTTACTGCGAACTTCGGCGATAACCATCAGTAATTTGCTTCTTTCCACTGGTAACGGCACTTGTGCAATTGCAAGTTGACCAGCGTATGCAGTATTACCAAGTATTGCTTGATCCCATAGGAAAGAAGCGGAGGAAATTCACGGAAAACCTTGCTATCCTTTTTCATACCAACTGAGTATGATTTGCTCCTTAGCCGGAGTTCAAAAAGTTCAGTGGAAAGGCCATTCTCAACACTAAAATAGGCACAGCTGCATGTGAGTGTAGATTTTCAACGCTCAACTATCCCTACTTTCTCCTACCCTATAATATTTAGCATAAAACTAAACAGAAACTTCCACAAACAATACTAGAAATAAAAGTAAAGAATAAGCAAATAAAAAATAGAATTGATATCAAACTATGCCGAAACTCACTAATGTTGTTAAGGAGACCAGTGTAGTAAAGCTCAAAGTGACCCTTGCAGGTACAGCTAAACAATCGTTGGATTATGAAGAGTCATGGTTCTTGAGTTGGTGTAGTGGCAAGAGCCACCGTTTAATACACACAGTGCGGAGATCAAATCCCGGGTAGATACTCGCTCACACCGGGCCTTGAATCTCTCCGCAGTCGCTTATTGGTACTACATCGTCTTGGAGGATGAAGATACGGATTTTTGTGTGTGGGGGGGGGTATGGAGAAGGGGGTGTTCAGTGACGGCCACCTGCTGTGTGGCCCGTGAGCCAGAACTCGCACTAATTAGCCAACTCATTCATCCTCCTGGGTTCGGTCGGTTGCCAGCAGATTCATCCGACGGAATGAAAAATGAAAGCATCACGAGAGCCCTTTGCTCATCACTCAAAAGGCATGCCCCAGGACCAAACTGGTGTGGTCTTGCGACCTTGAAAGTATTGGTGGAAAATGGGCCCGTAGTAAGAAATCAAGAAAAGATTCTGCAAAAATGCTCTAGTGAAGGGCCTTCGCAAATTCCTAATGTGGCTGTGCTAAGGCAATAAGAGACGAAGCGGGAGAGCGTAACATATGAGAAGGCGTCAGAAAACAGCCAGGAAAAAATGAAACTGTTGAAGCTGTCTTTGCAATGCTCCAGCGCGCTTGTCTAGCCATTTCCATGTTTTGTGATGCCCCTTGTGATGCCCCTTGTGATGTGATTGCTTTTGAGGTTTGATCCCGCAGACCCTAAGTGACCCAAGGCCACACATTCAAAAAGACTAGAGGCGGATCCGATGAGAATTATTACATTAGAATCAAAGTAGAGGTGGTCAGTGGTGCCGGGATGAAGAAAAACCATGAGAAACGGCCCAGAACCCGAGAAATGGGACCCCGTTGATTTCCGCATTGATGCGACTCTCATCGGTGCTGCCCTCTTCAACGCTAACGCTCTCTCTGCTAAATGGCTAGAGACCTGCGGCGAGTGGTTAGCCAGTCGGTGGGCGTGCCGCGCCACCAGCGCCAAGGGGAGGGCCATGCTAGGTTGCCGGGGCATCTATTTCACTGCAAAATGCGTGTCGGCCCTTAGAGGGTCCGGCTGTCTTTTCACTAGGTGAAATGCAGTTTCGGCCTTATCTTTTTTTCTTCCTACTTTTACCGCTTTTCAAACTCTAACCTCGTCGATCAATCCAAAATGAAACCCATGAGATCATCACAATTAATCCAGTTGGAATATATGACTGTACAAGATTGTAACCAATGGAACGCGATAAATACAAATTCCCTTCCAAACAACTAAAATTATCTGAAATGCTTAAGTTGAGTAGTACAGTAAATGTGAAACACTTATGAAGCATATGATTTATTCGCCTCAGCTTACCAAGTTTATATGAATTTGGCATTAATGCGTAACGATATGTCCCGTTACAGTAACTTTTCGCGACGGCGGTAATCATAAATTCCGGCAGACCAATTTCGGGATTGGAACGAATCGGATTTGAATCGAACCACGTCACGTTGACCTGTTTAGCAATGTAGGCATCTGAAATTGTCTTGAGAAATAGCGCATAAGTTCAAAGTAAAGCCGGTAAACATGTATGGATGAGCGGGGATGATCTCCAGCTTTCTCATTGGCGGGTGATCGAGTTACCATTTCGTAGCTCAACCAGACACCAATGAGAAATACTCTGGAACGTGTCCGACTCCGTCTACTTAACTGCAGCTCGCTAAGAAGTGCCATTATCAACATTTAGAACACTTTGGAAGCTTCGCAAATATCAATATTACTTACAACTTAATACTCTGATCGAGCACATTTGCGAGTCCATCGGGTAGAACCTGAAAAAAAAACACTGATAAATAGTGAACTCAACATTAGTAGTACGACATCTGCATAGCTTATCAAACGCTTTGACAAGGGGTCCGAGCAAGGGAGGGGGAGGGGTGCGTGTGGATTAATGTTAACTATGTTGACGGTGTGCCCCATCAAGTATTTGAAGTGGCAAGCATGACCATAAAGCAGTAACCAGAAAGACTCTTGGACCCGATTTTTATTCGAGACTATAAGTATCGGATGCCAAATTCATGAACTCGCCTCAGATCCAAGTTGCATGCCACGGTCAACGTACACCGTAATGAATAGGCAACCGTTCCATCGGGTGCAATAAACATATTGAAATTGGGCACTGTTACCTCTTGAAAGTGAGCTTGGCGTGCATTAGCAAAATATAAGTCTGGGAGCCTGAAATTCACCGCTTAAATAAAATTAAAGTTAAAGCGGCAAAAAGACGAGCGCTATAAAAACGATAGTAATGGCCACTGGAGCAGAGCGTACTGAGCTGACTCGAAGTGTAATACATGAATAATGTAGGCTACAAAATATGACAAATGATACGGTAATCAAAAACGCGCAAGGAATTCTTCTGATTTGGTCGCTGTCTCCCTCAAAATCGAAAGTATAGAGCTCATTTCCATCATTCCTGGCCTAATCTAGCGCAGTGGATTGAAATTCCGCTTACCGTTTACACGGACAGAAGATTGAATCCTTTCTAGTGCGGCCAAAACTTTACAAAAAAAACTAGCGGGTTGGCAATTTTGTTGCCAGGAGCACTAACTGTTCTTAATTTTTCAGTCGCTGTTCACTTCACTCCGTTCGAAGCGCGAAAGGCTCACTGGATCAGAAAGAGAGACAATTAGTGACTTTGTAATCCTCGGTAAAAACTGAGGGCACGACGTGGTCTCTCTTAGAAATTACTCCCGTTTGTAAGAAATAATTCCCGTTTGCCCTGTCCCCTTGCTTTTTTGGAACCAACGCAAGGGAGTTGGCGGGGGTCCAGCGCTCGAGATCACTGTACCGCAAGAATGGTCTATGAAAAAATCTCGTCAAATTTTGCGTTGAAAATCAACAATCTCCGTGAATGTGCGTTGACTACGCAGAATATCTCAGGAAATGGGACAGTACTACACGACTTATCCTTCTTACGGATCCAGCAGCAAGCGTTAAGCGGTTGCACAATTTACTACAAAACTGCATCTACACGAACCAGATCTGTTTCCTCATACTGTCATCATTAATCAGTACATAATCTGAGAAATTGTGCGCTAATCGGATGTCCTTCCATGACATATATACATAAATATCGGCATCGAACGACTGAAAGAAACACTTTGACATTTGGAAATAAAGGATAAAAAGGATAAAGCATTTGCCGTTGATCAATCCCTTTTTGGGATGCGGCACGCATTCTACTTCCATTTGTACATTCGCAGTGGCACTTAAAGGCAAGAATCAGGATTACATTGATGGGTTGATTCCACTCAAATGTGAAAGTAGGGATGGGAGGTGGACCGCCAGTGGAGAAAAAAGGAAAGAAAATCCTGAAATACACAGGAAATACATTTTGCTCTATGCTGTGGAGAAGTTCAAAAGACAGGCAGGGAGATGAGAGATAATGTGAGCGCGGAGAGCGGTAGAGAAGTCCGAGAAGAGAGAGCATAGCAGATCAACGCAGCGACGCAGACAAGATATCGAACGGTGGGCGGACCATGTTAAGTTTGGTGGAGTCTGTTAGAAGTCCATGGCGCCTAGGGTCCTAGTGACGCGTTTCGATGTAGAAAGGTGGCGCTACCTTTGCACTTGCGTACCCAGCACTTCTAGCCATGGTAAGGGCTTCTTAGGTGGGTCTGAGCCCGAACTTTGCCTTTAAATGAGATTTGGCCTATACATAGCTGCGGCGGCCAGTCGATGTACAAACGGTGTTTTCATTGCAGCAGACAAGTCCAGTATCAATTATCCCATCCCGGAGAGATTGAAAGCTTAGTTGACTCAGACGACGTGCGATCTAAGGCTCAATCCGCGGACCGTGGTAACCCGCGCCACTTGCCACGACACTACATCCGCCCCCATTTGGAAATCACAATGAATCTTGAATCGAAAACCGAGAAAAACAATTATCTTCTTTTCATTTATAGGTCCTGAACGTACAAAATCCAATATATCATGATTAAACCTTGTATACATACGGTAGCAATCAGAATATTTGCTGAGAAAATTTTTCGTGCTTTTTTTCTCACATCAAGAGTTCGCTCCTACTCTTGTTATGTTATATCCTTTGGTATTTTGAAATCCCTAGAGAATTTTCAATTTTTTTTCAAGTCTCTTTCATGGCCTAAGGGTAAGGTGCAGGGAAAATGGCTTTATTGAAAAGTTTTCGCCGCTACTGTGTACGCTTTTTGCACTCCTACCTATGAAAGTGTAATAACTTGAAGCTTCCAGGAAAAGTCGTCGAAAAATCCGAAACGACGCGAAATCTTTTGTACAATTTAGTCAGTTGAGAAGGTTGGCTCAAGAGCCTGAAGTTTCCGAATGCTTCATTTCCGAGATGTTAATTTTAAGAATGAGAGGAAACGATTCTTGCATTCAACGGTGATCCCCGGGGCAGACCTGGCTGCTAGCGAAAAAAAAAGAGAAAACAAGCAATTGGCGGGGCGACTTTTCTAAACCTAGTTATGGTAGTTCCATCTATAATTGAACTAGGACAATCTGGCAAGTTTAGCAAATGGTAACAACAGCAGAGGACGAATAACAACCAGCTCAAATTCGTTAAACAACAAGTCATTACAATTCCATATTAGACTAGGCTGCAAATTGATCGATTATTATTGGTGACGCAGAAATAGTAGACGTTACATTTATTTATAAAGTGTAGGCAGGCTATGAAGATGATGGAGTGCCAAGTGGCACCACTTCACGCAATCGGGGCGGTATCGAATCTGGAATCCTGCCCTTATGGTTTTGTACCAAGTTTTTGTAATAGAAGTCGACTCACAGCCACACGTATGCCACTTGTTCTGTATTTGAGCGTACTAACTACCAAAGGTCTTTAAAAGCCCCATTAGACGTAGGTCGGTGAGAAAAAATTTAGCCAAGTGGCATCCTTCATCTGCAAATCGTGTTCTTAGAAACCTATTATTCCGTCAACGAAGTGAAAAGTACTACCTTTGGCTAAATTTTTTTGTTATTTTGAAATTCGTGAGTAGGAAATCAAACAAAAACTTTGAATGAGAAAGGCTTCTCAATTCTTACTAACTTCGAAACAATGGAAGAAACTGATCAAAACCTGTGAAACAGAAGCAGGAAGGAAGAAATGAAATGATAAGAGGAACAGGAAGCTAGTTTTGACCAGCTTTTCTGGAATGCGCCATGCATTCTGCATCCATTCACAGCTGTAGTGGCACTGAATTCAACGTGGACTATAGAACGAACGGCGGGGAACTGCGGGAAAGGCCGATTTACAAGACAATGTTTAATCCTTCCAGGCAGGTCTCAGAAGTCCTTAGTCAACCCTGAATCGGTGAAAGGCTCGGTTAGTGGTGGTGAGCTGTGTGAGATTCGATCCAGCGTGATCCCTGCGATGTCGGTTGCCACTACGCCACCTCTGCGCTCATTCCTGCGCGTATTCCGAGTGTAACACAACAGTAATATTGTTCTAGCTGAGAAATTATGATACCTAACCATTTCAGTTGATCGAAAATTGCCAAGACTCTCCAAGTACATGCCAAGTTTCACGTCCAATGGATGCGTCTCGTTTTCCGTTGGTGGTCGCTTACTCCGATGAAGTAGCAGTTGATCCACTGTTTCCAAACAGTATGAAGTAGCGAGAAGAGGAAGCCTGAAAACAAAGCTACAGTGAAGATATGGTTCACAATTATTTAATATGGACCCTCCAATTACTTTTCAGTCTTTGGTAAGATATTCTGTGAGAACGTGGATAAAATGGCCGCTTCTGGTGGTGAACACTTTCAGATGCGCCACGCTCTTGACTTTCCATTGAAGAGGGTCAGTCAATGTGTTTTACATCTACAGAGCGCTACCGTAAGTACGACTACGGGTGTGAATAGAAAACTCCAACCAGTGTCATCCTGCGTGGTACAGGCGGCGCCTGGTGATTGGGTACCCGACAGGAGGCCCGTCGCGCGGCAAGCAAGGCAGAGTCAGCGGACGAGTCGCAGCGCGTACTTAGTGATTTCGCGTCAAGTTACCATTGTACGTCCTACATCGCACATCACGCACTGCAACTCGTCCGCTGCCTCCTCCTTCTTGTCGCACGACGGGCCTCTTGTCGGTACTATGGTGATTGTTCAAAAATAAAGTACTGCAGAGGCCTATGGTTAACCTAAATGGCGAATTTCGATACAAATTTCGATTCACTTATTGTTATTTGTTAAAATGTTGTTGTTAGTTGGACGAATCTTCTGAATTCATGTGTAATAATAATTCGGGAATATTAGCCAGTTTTATCGTATCCGTTAAAATCCGCGAGACCAATGTGAACGGCCAAACCGTAAGAAATGTAAAAAACAAATAACCCTATACGTACAGGGCTTAGCGCAAGGGACCTACAGCGTGACATTCGTAACACTCGCTATAACAACTTACATTTGGAAGTTGCTTTTTTATGTGTCGTTATTTTTGCCGCGCTTACGTGCCTAGAACTTCATCCATGTTCCCTGCCGCGAAAGGCTGCAGACGGGTAGAGGACAGCTGCAGCTTCAACTTCGCACAATGCTAGCGCGGGAATTTATGACGAAGAATGCAAAGCACCAGGCGGAGGAAATTGTGAGTGGGGGTGGGTAACCACTGGATGTTAGGCAAAAGCTGGAGCGTGGAAGGTCACAATGGTCAAGAGATTGTATTCAGGCCAGAGGGCAATGGCTAGGGCAGCACATAGACGCATCTCAGAGAAGCAAGTTCGAGTAACCTGTTAACCATTTTCTGTTGCACCTACCAGAATAAATAAAATTTTCCACCGCTCATGTTTGAGCCTCAGGAACCACTGCATGACACAAGAAGTTCTTCAACTCCCCTCTTTCTCCCTGTCTCTCCTCTCTTATTTTTTCATACAGCGCGTCCAGTGGACAGTCCTCTCATCAAGCACAAGTCTCGATTATCCGATGAAGCTAAGGCATCAGAAGACGACGACGTGAGGGAAAATTTCATATAAGTACACACTCTCAGAAATGTGCCTCCGGTAATCAGATGAAGGTACCTCATTGAAGAACCAGCAGTGTCACGCAAATGGGTTACTTCCTATCATTGGTTTGAATATGTGAACAGCTAATGTTAGTAACAATTGCGATGGTTGCTGCAATCATTTGCCATGAGCAGAAAAAATTTCAAGGTTTGAACTGCATTATTCCATTTTTTTGAGCACAGCACGTCCAGTGTGGTTAAATTTAGTATTAATACATTCAAAAAAGCATAGCATCCCGAGGCGAAGTACTGCGCTTGAACCTGAGCTGAGAATAGTCCTCCTTCCCTCAGTCTAGGCACCTGCCCTGCCTTCTTTTCACCGCGAATACACGGACAGAGAGCAGAAGCCTTCTGATACGAGTTGGTGAATTAGCTTCTGCAGCACCAGCTCTAACTACCGCTTTTGAAAGATGGAAAGATAAGTGAATTAACAAATTCTCCTTATTTATGAATCGAAGAATTAGTCGTATTTGGATGAAAAAGTGGGCGTTGACTTAACTTCCTAGAATGCGCCACGCATTATACTTCCAATAGGATTGTGATGGCAATCTGAATTTATTTTAGTCTGTACAATGACGTAAGCAGCCAGCCAATATCGATTTTCGTTCTCTCAGACAAGACTTGCACTAATTATTCGATTCTAAATGAACGAGAGCTCGGAATGCACAGGTAAGATTCGATCTCAGACTTGACCCCGAACCATGCGCGCGTTATGTGGCGCCCTTGCCCCCACACCAGCTGGGCCCGTAAAAGGGTGGATAAAAGGCCACCATGACTCAGGTTCGGGCATAACGCCGCGATCCCTTCGAATATTACCACGTATTGCCTCTAATGCTATGTCCATGGATTATGATGCTTCGGGATATTTTTTGAGTATTGCGACGGGATTTGTTGTGCTTGAGCGGTTTCATCCGTCTGGGCAATTAATTATTGGGTGTGCCGTGGTAGGTAATCGTCGAGCGTTTGAGCAAAAGTCTTGTTAGATAGCAGCCAAAACATGTCGCCAAGCTACTCCCAAAAAATAAACGCTTCCCATGTTTTGGCTTGTGCTTCCGGTTGCTTACGTTGTGATTCCCATTTCATAACAGAAGCTTGGAAATGGAAAGAAAGGAAAGGATAAAAAGAGAAAACTCACAGAAATGAAATCATAGACGCGTTGAAAGAACCATATTGTAAGTGACGAGGATGCGAGTAATAACTTCTGGAATATGCGGCATTATTGAGTGAGTGAGTATTGGGCTTGTTTGGTCTCGAATGAAGGCCCACGAGACAGAAGGACGCAAACATCCGGTACAACGTGTAATTCTTGTTGGGATACACCAAATCACTGAGAAAAACTCATCTAATTATGTTTTGGTGAGACGACAAAGAAAGGCTGATACACTCACATGAGAGATTTGTAGAAGAGTGGTCCTCACTGAAATAACCTCGAAAAATTTGGGGAAGAAATTGGGTTTTTCAGGCCTGTTTTTTATGAGATTCTCGTACAATTGCAGAAAAGATGGCAAAGGGCAAGTCATTTTTGGATCAAAGAACTGAATAGAAATTCGGTGCTAACTTAGTTGGGGGGGGGGGCACGCGGCGGCGCGGCAGTCTGCTCGCCTGGCATGTTCGGAAATCCGTGGGCCAGGGGGAGTGTAGGCAGTCTAGGGGGGTGGGGGTGGGGGCAGTCACTTGACATGCGTGAAAAGCTGGAATGTTCGAGTTTACACTGTCTCGCTCGAGAGAGCCCAGGTGAGCAGACTGCCGCGCCGCCGCGTGGCCCCCCCAACTAAGTTAGCACGCAAGAAATTCTTTAAATCAGTGCTATATTGCCTGATGCTCACCAAGTCATTTGAGCGGAACTGGCTATTTGAGAATTTCAGCAAGTCCGGGAAAGTTCATGCGTCACAACTTGACTGAATTGAGTGCGGCGGATTACACTAAGATCAGAGAAAAGTGTGAGAAAAATAAAGGGTATTGGGTTTTCATTACATCAAAAGAGGAGAGCACGAGAACCTGAGAGCGTCTATCTAGACCAGCTAGTAAACGCGGCTAAAACTTTGCTCGAGAATGCATGGAATCGAGACCAGCTGTAGCACAATTGCTGTTCACCATATTGAAGATAGTTCCCTATTTTAATAAGGCTTCTTCCCATATGTATGATTCGAAGGTAAGAGCTAGAAAAAACGGCTCAGGTTCAGGTCTTTTTTGCGGGTGTCGCCTCTACGGCCCGTATCCAATTCCCGGTATTCTGGAAGGAGTGGGGTGTATGTGGAGAACCAAGAGCTTCACCGTCAAGTTTTACGCAACATTTCCATTCCTCTTCCTCTCATTACAAAGCACTGTTCAACAGTTGTTGCACATTCCATACCCCAATAAGAGAGCTGAAATGCAAGGTCCCTTTATCTCACCACCACTCCTTCACCGATGGTTTTTCAACAGACAGTGGTACCAAGATTGAACTCCCATAATTTCTTCTCATATAAGAGCTAGAAGGTCTTCGTTGAAAGGGACAACTTTTTAAGACAGTTCTACACGACTTTGAGAGGTGGCGAACATTTTCTAGCGTCGCGCCAGTAATCAAGACTGATCGACCCTGTCGCAGAAAATTCGTTTTCTGCTCCATTGGTGTGGTACTTTGAAAGAAGTCTCTACTAGCGAATGCATACTGTAACTAGTAGACCGCTGACTGCAAACCACGATTAGGTAACTGGTCCTGCACAAAAGCCGCCAGCAAATCGTGCGCTAGAGCAAAAGTCGACAGTCTTTAAGGTCGCTAAAGGAATTTGACATAGTGATTGCTATTTCTATGCACAGCTCGTATTGCATAGTGGCCTATTTTTCGAGGACTATACTGTCCTAACATTGTTAACGAAAAAACAATAAGGTAATATAAATATTCGAACCGTTCAAAACCCTACACATTTGGTAGTCAAACCAATACCTGATCCCTTCCTTCACGTAGTTGTCAAACTAGACGTCGCGGGTGTCCCCCAAGAGGCCCGTCGCGCGGCGAAGGAAGAGACGCAGATGCGGCAAAGGACGAGTCGCAGCGCGTGCTGTGCGATATGAGACGTAGTATGGTACACTCTATTTAACCTGACGCCTAACCGCTACAGTATGCGCTGCGACTCGTCCTTTGCCGCGTCTGCGTCTCTTCCTTCGCCGCGCGATGGGCCTCTTGGGGGACACCCGTCGTCGCCAGAAAACTTCATCCTAACCTCAAGCCGAGAAAGGCATGTATTAAAGTTT